ACTCTCTGGCCGCTCAGGCATGGCAGCGAGAGGGCGAGGAAGAGGGGAAGAGGCTGAGGGGGGGGTGGCAGGAGGAGGGGGAGGAAGAGGGGAAGCGGGTGGGTGGTGGGTGAGCGAGCATGCAGCTGGCTCAGTGGTGCAGGGTGGCGGGCAGCCCGGCAGCGGGCTCTGGCCACTCAGGCATGGCTGGCTCTGCTTCCCTCCCTCCATTCAGACTGCCTGCCTGCCTGCCCACCTGCCTTCCTCCCCGGCCAGCGCGGCCCCGCGTCACTCACTCAACGGCGGCAGTGGCTCCTTCCTGGCCCAAATGAAGTGCACCCGGCGTACAAAACGACCCCCCCCACTTGGAGGCATGTTTTTTTGGGCCAAAAAGTCGTCTTGTACGCCGGCAAATATGGTAATGTCTTGCACATCTTTTGTAGTGTCAAGAAATTTTTTACAGGTGTTATAAGCATAGATAAGTTGTGTCAAAGTGCAATCCATTTCTTATTCCAAAGAAGTATTTAGAAGCGATTTCAGAATTACTCTTTTGGAGTTCAGAAGGATGGGCAGAGATTCTCTTAAATCTCTCCTGTTGTGACTACTTGTGTGTCTGAAGCTCTGTTACCTTTCAAGGGTTAGCCATCTCCCCGTCATATAGGAGCCAACCGTGTTTGATTCAGATGTGTTGGGCTCCTGTTCCCACCAGTCCCAGCCAGCATGGCCAGTGTTCAAGGATTCTAGGATTTCAAGTCTAAAACATCTGGTGTGATCACCAGCTTATCTATTTCTGTCACATCTAATATTCAGTAATTACTTTAAAAGCACTAGCTTCATCCTTGTGTGTGGCAAAAAATATTTTGGTAACTAAAGCCTGGAATTTGGCTTTTATATTCAAGCACTTGTGGTCATTGGAACACTTTTCGTAGATTGCAAAGGTTGTAAAAACCCATAACTCTTTTTGGCGCTGCATGGTTTATATTTTTCTGACCTGAGTTAACAATGCTGATACCTAATACGGTAAGTGCCAGAGAAAAGCTTATGTGAGAAAAAAGATCTAAGGGAGGAATACTTCCAATATTAATATTCACTTTATAGGATTTACAAATATGCTATAAGTGTCCCACACAAGTCACTACTACTTTTTATTTCTATACAATTTCTATATGATGAGTGATACCTTGATGACCTATGATTTCATCACTGTGGGTAGTCCCTTCAACTGTTTTTGCCCCTTCGATGTGTCCATAGTTGCCGTGATCCGTTCATCACCTAATTGTGAGCCTCTTAGGATGGTCTTCAAATGGTAGGCATTCAATCTGCAACTGGAGCTTGCCCTCTTAATTCGTATCTGCTTGGTAGAAACTCCAATCCACTGTCACTGCCTTCAAGAACCCACAGACACTTCCATTCCTTAACAAGACAGCAGAACGTGGATTTGGTGGAGGGATAAAATTTAATTATGGTTTATGTAGACTAACAGATTAGGTTATACTCCAATAGAGATCTAGTTATTTTAAGCCTGCTGATATAAAACAAGTAAAACTAATCACATGTTCTAAATGTCTCCATGTAATTAGCTTAATTCCTGCATTACAGAACACTAAAAGAAATCACCACTAGAGGCCTCTATTAGATCAAGATAAACTGAGTTTTAGTTCATCTTACTGACTATTGTACTTTGAAGATGGAATTTTTGTTTATTTCAAAAGAAAGTGTCACTCTTGCACAGCTTTGTCCCTTCCACATGTTTTGTATTACAGCAACGATAGGACTTTGACAGCATGACTAGTGGTTGGGTATGATGGAAGTTATATTTTAGAACAGCACTTCCCAATTTTGGGTCATGTAAGTGTTCTTTGGATTGCTTTGGGGAATTGCAATCGAAGAACACCTGGGCTAGCCAAAACTGTGGGCCACTCTTTTAAAACATCTAGAGCAGGGGTCTCAAACATGCGGCCCAGGGGCCATTTGTGGCCTGTCAGACAATACTTTGTGGCCCCCGACTTGCCTGCCCCCCCAAAGCACCCGCGCATCGTCTGCTGTCAAGAGTCAAAAAAAGCCTCTCTTTGCTCGCTGGCCCTCCCCCAAGACAGCGCCTCTTGCACCCTCCATCTGGAACTGCAGCCTGCCAGCCGGCAGACAGGCGGGCTGGCTGGCAGGCTGCAGTTCCGGATGGAGGGTACAAGAGGCGCTGTCTTGGGGGAGAGTTGGCGAGTGAGGTGCGCTGCCAGCCCTTTTCCCCAAGCTCCCGAGTCACCACCGAGCGATGTCTGAGAGCGGAGCTCGCTCCCAGCCTGTCCTCGAAGAGCGCCTCCAAGCCACCAACAGCAGCTGCTGCCGCCTCTTCCACGGAAGCGGCCCTCTTTCTCTGTCCGCACCCCCAGCACCAGCCCAGCCAGTGGCCGCCTCAGCGCACGGCGGTGCTTCCTCCTCCTCCTCCTCCTCCTCTTCATCCTGCTTCAGCCACTTCGGCTCTGAAGGCTGCCTGGGCTTGCCTCGCAAAGCTTGCTCCTCTATCATGATGGGGGTAGCTGCTGCTGCTGAGTAGGCCTTTTTTTGAGGGGGGGCTCAGAGGAAGGTTGCCGGACCTCCGTGTGTTTGTGTGCATGCATGTGCGTGCACACCTGTGGGGGCCCCACCCTGTTCTGTTTAATTTCACGGGTACCGGTGGGAGCTTTTCTCCTTCAGCAAGGAGAATTCTGTGAGGGTTTTTAAATTTAATTTTATGTCATGCCCTCCTCCCCCCCGACTAGGCGGTCACAGGTGCTCCCTCCCTTCTCCGCTTCTTTGTCCTGCTGCTGCTGGTGGTGGTGGTAGTGAAGAAGGAACTGGAGGGGGTAGTGGCCTGCGCCGAGGGCTCGCGCGCCCCTCCTCCTCCTCGGAGCCCCAGCTGGGCTAAGGAAACTCCTGGGTGGCTTCCTCGGGCTCTTGGTCCGCTTGGCGGAAAATCTGATGTGACCCAGCCTCACCCAGACTCTGCCTCCAGCAGCCCCCAGGTAAATTGAATTTGAGACCCCTGATCTAGAGAATATGAGATTGAGGAAGGCTTATCTCTGTTCTGCAGCATGAAACTGTGGAAATGTGTTTTGATTTGGCATTCATGATAGTTGCTTTCTTTAAAAGTGTTAACAAGAAGGCCACTTGATGATCATTCTCTTGATATTATAGCTGGCATATTATGTTCATATTATGGTCTTTGATAGAAAGGTATACTCCATTTGTTTAAGAGTTACACGTGGATCTCTACTACTTCACATTATGTATATGGAATATGTTAATATTTCCAGAATACCTTCCCAAAACTGGAATGATAAACCACTTCTGAATACCTACAAAACTCTTAAGTTAAAATTGACTGGACAGCATGTAATTAATTATTATTTTTGTTATCTGAGAGACTTTTTTTGTTGTATGCTATATGCTTTCAATTTATGGTGACCCTATGAGTTAATTACCTCTAAAAGTTTTGTTATTAATAGCTCTATTCAGATCTTGCAAACTGATCTTTTTCAGTCAAATTATCTCACGTTCGGTCTTCCTTTTTTGAGCATTACTGAATCTTGTGTTCTCATGATATGACCAAAGTGCCATACAGTGGGGTCTCGACTTACGAACTTAATCTGTATTGGAAGGCAGTTCTCAGGTCGAAAAGTTCGTAAATCGAATCTTCATTTCCCATAGGAATGCATTGAAAACCATTTAATCCGTATCTGCTCTTTTCGTCCATAGAAACTAATGGGAAGCTGCTATTCCGCCTTCTGCCACTAGAGGGGGATATTTTTTCTTTTTTTCTTTTAACCTAAGATGACTTAGCTTTAAAAAAAGGGGAAAAAACTTCATAACTCGAATCTAAGTTCGCAAGTTGAGTCCATATATTCCTATGAGAGCGGTTCGTAAGTTGAAACATTCGTATGTCGAGCCATTCGTAAGTCGAGACCCCACTGTACTTCAGTTCAATTCCTTTTAGCTTTTAGTAAGATTTTAGACTTGATTTGACGTGCAATCCATTTCTTTCTCTTTGTGAGAGTCCATGGTGTCCTTAAAAGGTCTCCTCCAGCACTTCATTTTGAATAAACAATTTTTCCTGCTGGCTTTCTTCCTTAGCCAGCTATCACATTGGTGGATTGTAATTGGAAATACTATAGTACTAATAATACTGGCCTTCCTTTACAACAATACAACCTTTGTAGCTGCCCTTCCACGCCTCAGTATTCTTTTGATTTCTTGGCTGCTGACTCACACTTGAATTGAAAATTGAATCAAGGTATAGAAAATGTTTAGCTTTTTGTTTCTGTTCATGGGGTTTTCTTGGCAAAGATACTGGAGTAGCTTGCCAGTTCCTGCTCCAGGTGAATCGTGTTTAGTCAGAACTCTCCACTATGACCTGTCCATCTTGGGTGTCCCTGCACGGCATTGCCCATAGCTTCTCTGAATTACTCAAGCCCCTTCGCCACGACAAGGCAGCAATCCGTGAAGGGGATGAGAAGAGACGACCCTGATGTTGGGAAAGTGTGAGGGCAAGAGGAGAAGGGGACAACAGAGGA